CTTTATCTAGCTCTGCTCTCACCTTCCTGAAGGCAGTTTCTGAAAGAGCACCTCTCTCGGGCAGGTACAGCACTATCTGCTGTGCTCTGTCCCAATCTATTTTACCTGGATTTTTTTCTGTTCTTTTTCTTTTGGTAGGAAAGCTCTTGCACATCTTAAGCTCAAGTATACAAATGTTATTTCCTTGAATTTTTAAAAACTAATTTCTAGAATATGTGTTTGCCTTTTCTTCACAAACCTGGTCCTTAATATTTGAGAGGCAATCTCAGGCACAAAGATCGATTGGGCCAAGAGTACTACAGCTACTTCAGCAGCAAACGGCTCTGTGTCAGATGTACAGAAACTGTTCCTCCTGTATTCTGTATTTCCTCTAAGTAAGTACCCTCATTGAGAGTGTTTTTCTGTGGGGTGTTTTAGCTGAGAAATGCCCTAGATCCAAAGCCCACCAGTGCTACCCCACCTTGCTAGTAGGAAGGTAGTGTCTTACCCATGGCCTTCAGGATTAGCAGTAAAATGCAGATTAGTTCAGGAAGTGCAGTAATTCCTCCTTTGGACTCAGCAGAAGGGAGTTAAAACAGTAAATAACCACTGAAATGCTCCCATTTTTTTAATTAAATGTTGACATGTTTGAACACTGAAGCCTAAATTCATATGCAAATATCAGTAGATATTCAAGCAGAATACAACCATTCCCACATGACTAAGAAAATGCCATAAACAGAAAATTATTCACAGTTCTCTTCTTCTTGTTCATCAACCTGACCTCAAGCAAGTGTAAAAGACTTCAGAAAATAGTGCAATGGAGATTAGGAGGATGCAACATATCCACTACACTACTGAATGACTGCACATGACTGAAAATAAGATTTAAAAGTTCTTCTCTAACCATAGGTCTCAAACAGCCAGTCAGCATTCCTTACAGGCAAAACATGTACACCCTTCAACCTCATCCGAGATATCAGTTGCTTATCATAATCTACAGAGAACAGTTTCATCAAAGTTGTTTCAGTATATATGAATTTAAAGTATCTTGTATCTCTATAAATACTAAAACCAGATTATTATCAGCTGATGTGGGAATAACTCAGATCCAGGAATGTAGTGGAAGAAGGTAACTCGTGACTAGTGGATCTATACCAAACACACCCATCAAATCCTCAAATCTTCCCAAAGAAACATCTTTTTGCATGCTCCTGGCAGCCTAATCTTTCAGCCCATGCTGTAGATTCCTGGTTTTGTTTTGAATAAAATGAGTCAGAATTTGAACTTTTCACTATTCTTTCTCAGGTATCTGAGATATCCGCACGTATTTTGTTCTGTTGAGATAATCAGACAGAACATTAGAAGAGCAGCATGACCAGCCTGAAACTATTGATTTCCTAAAATGCTGGACTGGTAATTCTAGAGAGCAATCACAAGAGGTTTGGAGTGCTGCCTTTTATGTCCTCACCAACTTCCTCAACGTGGAGCTGGATCCAGGGAAGGACTCACACCCCTATACATTCACAGCCCTCGTGCCTGCGGCAGCTCCTTTGGCAATGGGAACACCGACCGGTACGCTTCCAGATGTGCCAATTCTGGTGCTTTTCAAGGAATTTCAGAAGCTGAGGCGCTGAGTCAGTGCTTAGGTAGCTGCCATCCATCCAGTGCCATGGTCTGTAGGAGGTGGGACCAGCAATTTAGCAGTTGGTATGGAGCATTCTCTGAGTTGTTCAATCAAAGCTCCAGCTGCGAGAAGCAGCCACTGCGCTGGAGGTGTTGCTATTGTTTTTGAAATCACTGTTAATTAAGGTGAGATCTCACTGTGCTAGTGTTCAACAAACACAGGAAGAAATGGACCTTTCCCTGACAAGTTTATCATTCAGACAAGCTACACAAACAAGCATAAAGGATGATGGAAAATGTAAAAGGTGTAGTTCAATGTTTCTTAAAACATTATTTCCCTAGGCCCTGCCCTCTGCAGCCCGTCTGATCAGTTGGTTAAGCTCATGGGCAACACAACTGTGAGCAACATGCCTTTTCCTCTATTTTACTCAGACACTAGTGCCATGTGTATTTACCAGCTGAGAGATGGTCCACCGAGGCCAGATCAGCAGTCAATAGCTGCCTTTCAAAGTTACACCCATTTCAGAAACTGCCTCTTCCTCCCCCAGGGAAAACGGTTGCCCATGGTTCATGACTCTGGTTCACGAGGGCATTTTACCCAGCTGGAGCACAGCAGGAGTCAACCCAAAAGCACACATTCCCTCATTAGATTTCTCGCTTGTTACTTTTTCCCTTTCTTGACAGATACATTCAGTTTGACTGAATTTTTGCACTCATTATTCTATAATCCACCAGAAATCACGGTTAACGTACTTCTGATTATGGTGGAGAATGTAATTTTATTTCCAACCTGAATTCAAGCAGTAGTCCTGGGGATGACATACTCTGGAAATTAATGATTAACCCTGCATGTCACCAAGCAGTGTTGTATGTATCCAGCTAAAGAAACATAAAATACTTTTAAAAATAAAAATAAAGCTTATCATCTGCTCTTTGAAACCTAATTGCTCTTTAGTGGATGGTGAAAGTGTCCTGAGGCACTGACCAGCACTGAGGTCTGGTTCTGAGCCCCTAACACAGAGATAACCAATCTCTCTGCTCCCAATGCCTGGTAGCCCAACACCTCATGCTGTCAGGATCTCTTTTCAGGGAGATCTTTTCCCCTTGTGTTGAATTTTTATTGAGCTCAAAGGAAATATTGTTACCACAGCTATTGAAAATCATCTCAGGGCTCAGGAAACTTTTGAGCTGTCTTCTGAAGCACTAGCACCAAAGTAAAACTTCTCTCTTTACCCTTTACCCCGAGTTTCCTGCTTCGTCTTCACACACAGCGATGCCGTGTGTTGCACACAACAGAAGAATCAAGCATTTATCTGTGAGTGTGTACATATGCACAGACATAATTCTCCTGTAGATGTAAATATTCCCGTAGTAAAACTGGTGCATGACAAATGCTCTTCACAGAGTTTAAAGCCTCACATAGCGCCACTTGGACTTCATGGCAGTAGACCTGCTCTATGAACCATATACTTTACAATAATAATCAGAAAAATCAGGAAAAGTACATTTGCTTAACAGAAATCCAGAACTACATGTAGACTGCTCTATGCAAGCACAGAGAAGTTAACCTTCTTGGACACAACTAATGGTCTTGATTGAAAGACTGGTTCTACTACGTGTTTTGCGGCTGACTTCAGTGGGAGATAGCTTTTCATGTGCTCTATCTCACGGAAAGACAGAGCTTTTTAGGTTGATCAACATCCGATTTACGCACCTTAGCAATCGTAACTACTGATATACACTGCATAGGACTAATAAAGTTTTATTTGCAATTTCAGCTGTAATGTTCAGAGCTATTAACTACAACCAATTACATTAAGAACCTTAATGTAACTACCTGATCGTCTGAAATTCCCAAGTAATGCCTGTCAGTGACAGTATTTTCCACTGTGTATGCTATGCATACTATTATTATGTACACTGGCTTGGCACTATTGTAGCTTTCGACCTCTTTTTTTTTTTCAAGCTGTAGGCTATGAGACACCTACAAATATGTTTTTTAACTCTACTGTATTTCCTCACTTAAAAGTGAGATAATGGCTGTGTCATAAAGACATACAGACCACAAAGAGAGAAACAGAATAGTAATACTTTTCATTCTACTCTGGAATTTAGTGATCAAGTGTGAAGAGGTGTCTCATTGCACTGTCAGAAATACCTCAGCTTTTAAAATTCAGCTCCGAGAGGCTACCTCTGAGTGAAGACACGTTTCATAATTTAGACGTGGCGTGAGAGTTCATGTGAAATTCAGACTGAATTGACGAGCCCAGGTAAAAAATTAGCCATTGCTCTGATCACAGGTCGATTTATCTTCCAGAGCTATATCAAACCACAGTATTTACATGTTCAGCTCAACTAACGAAATATGAGGCACTGTTCCACCAACCTACAACCTGCAAATGAGAAACCTTATTGTATTATGTCTATAAAACTCACATCAATTGTATATTACTACTATACATTCATGTTAACAGCTTCTAAATGTGGATCCACATCCCTACTCTTTCCTTAAATCCATGGGATTAAGCTAGCCATATATCAATTTTAGCCTCTTTCAATAATTTTTGCACAGCCTTAGAATCACATTTGGCATCTACAGCTGGCACATACAATAACTACTAGCAACAGTAACCATTTCTGCATTGAGGTCACTGAGTATATCGACTGCCGTGAGAAGTCGGGAAGGCACAGAATACTGCCTGACTCAAAAAGACAAGGGAAATAGGAAAAATATAACCCAGAAATTGTTGGAGCTCTCAGCTGCATTTGAGATGTAGTGCTCAGATCTCAGCAGAGCTTGCCCTCTCCTAACCCCTCCTTACCTTTCCCTCCTCCCCGCCACACACGTACAGGATCACCAGAAACGATCCTTTGGTTTAACAAAAGCCTCTGCCCGTCCCTCTTTCTCTGCGAAGAACAAGACCTAATCCAACCAGCCTGTCCCATAGGAAAAACTGTTATTTGTGCGTTAGCCAAGAAAACCGGGGAGCCGACTGCAGCGCAGGCTGCCTACAGGAGAAGGCAGAAAGCCCGACCATCCCCTTCCCACAGACGAGCCTCTGTGCAAAGAGCGGGTAAAAAAGGATGCAGGAGACAATGAGGAAGAGCCTGGCTTTCCGCCCCCCCCCCCCCACACACACACACACACTTACAGCATTGCTCGGCACAGGGTAGATTGCCCGTTTCCAACCTCTCGCCTCCGCAAGCAGGGCTCAGGCACCCGGGAGCCCCTCTGCCACTGCAGCAGGTGAGGCGGCTCCGCGGGCGGCGGCAACTCCCGCGCAGGGAAGCCCGAGCCTCCCCGCAGAGCCGCCCTCCCCGCGCCTTCTCCGCGGCTCTCCGCGGGCAGGGCGGTGACCGCCCGCCCGCCCCCGCGCCCCCGCCGCGCTCCTTACCCGGCTCGGCCCGGGCGCTCGGCAGGACGGCGACCACGGCCGCCAGCAGCAGGACGGCCCCGGCCAGGCCCGCTCGGCCGCCCGACGGCGGGGCGCTGCGCGGGGGCGCAGTGCCGGGCGCTCCGCCGGGCCCCGCGGGGCTCGCCCCGCTCCGCCCGCCGCCCGCCGCCCGCCGCCACATCCCCGCGCCTCGCACGGCCCCGCTCAGCGGGCAGCGCTGCCCATCGCCCCGCCGCGCCGGGCTCTAGAGCAGCGGCTGTGCAGGGGGGAGGCGGCGGCGGAGGAGGAGGAGCGGGGGGCACCGCATGCTGCCGGGGGGACGCGGGGCCGCTTTGCCCCTCAGCGGCGGCGGCGCGGCCGCTCCGGCTCCGGCTCCGGCTCCGGCGCGGAGAGCGTCCCGGAAGGCAGCTTCATCCACAAAGGGCTCACGTCGCCGCCAGTCCCGGCCCCGCTCCCCGCCCTCCGAGCGCGGGGAGGCGGGGAGCGGGGGCGGCGCTGCCGGGGCCGCGGGGGACCCTCTCCGCCGCCCCGCGGGGTGCCCGGGCCCCCGCACCCCCCCCCCCCCCGCTCCGCCCCGGCGGCTCCGCGGGCTGAGCGGGGGCCGGGGCCGAGCGCTGCGCGGCGGAGCGCGGAGGGGCGCAGGCGGGCAGGGCGCTGTCCAGCGCGGGCCGCCCCGCCGAGCAGCCGCGGGGGGAGCTCGGCCCTCTGCGCCCTCCAGGGCACGCTGACTGCGGCGTCGGCGCTCGGCCCCCATCCCCTCCCCGATTTTCTGAAGCAGCCGTGCCCAGCGCTACCTTAGAGGTGCAAATGAAGCTGCGGCCGCACACAGTGGTCCTGCGACCTGGCAAGACAAAAAGTCCTTCTCTGCTCACCTCGGGAGCCATGTGGTGCCAGCTGACGGAGCTGCGAGTCTCTGAGCCAGGACATCTCCAAAGGTGGCCCTCAGTACCTGAGGCGCCAGCCAGCACCTCTTCTTGGGAAGCAGCCCAAGCCCTGCCACAGCGCAGAGCACCGCTGGCAGCGTTTCTGCAAGTGCAGAAACAGCTCTGAGAATAAAGAAGCTGGAGTGTACCGCAGGGGTTGACCAAATTGGCAGCTACGTCCTCAGCCGCCCAGGGTGCAAACACCGGAAAGGTCTACTCCTGTCACCCCGCTCTTGCGCTCCCGCACCTGGTCACCCCCTCCCTGCCCATGGCTGCACTCAGACCTCCAGGCTGGAAGGGCAACTTCGAAGGACAGAGGTTGGCCTCTGCAATGCTTAAAGGTACGCCAGGAGACCAACCGGCACATAAAATGTATGATGGACATCAGAGAAGGTGAGCGCCAGCACGAGGCAGAAGCTGCCTCCGTCACTGTCAGACCAAACAACATGGCAATTCACTTAGTGTTTTCCGTAATTAGCATTTTCAGCAGAGGTAATGTGAATTATCATCTCTTTCCTGGCGCTGCTTCTTTGAGTTCTTCTAGTTCTCAGATCGTGTCTGTGGGCAACAGACGGTGCTGGTGGGAGGAGGAGGAAAGCGAAGGTGGGCTTGGGGCAGAATGTGCTTCAGGACCCCGAGAGCTGATTCGGAAAGGGTGCAGTGTCGCTAACGTGCGGAAAAGCTGTCCCAGCCTCCCAGCCATTCCAGCAGAAAGCAAGAAGTCATCTTTCTGATAAATTCTTAAAAGTCGGGTTTGAAGTAGAGCAAGCCCCAGCATGGGATAGCCACAGCTTCACATCCTGCTACCCAGCTCCTCACAGCATCCCCAAAGTCATGGTGACCCATAATTACATATTTCTCTGACTGATTTAGCACACTCCAAATGTCACCAATACAACTATTCAGCGACAAATATGTCCCATTCGTGCCGTTTTACTCACTTTTTCCTCAAATCACTAATTTATTCTATGTAGAATTAGCTTCCACATGATGACTACTAATGATTATCCACAGAGAAAAGATGGCAGTTGTATGATTATTATAGTAAAATGGATAGCTTACTCATCACTCCAGTTTATCTAGGGCCAACGTATTTAGTGCAGGGCCCTCTTGTGGTACCTTCTGTTACCTTTAGGGAGTCCTGTGTAAAACCCATTTCATCATTTTCATATTTTTCTAGGGTTTGTCTTAACACAATCTTTGTTATCTATCAGTAAGATAAATTTGACAGTGTTTTTCCCCAATCTAGCTCTTAACCATTACAGTCTTCTCTTAGTTTTCCATTATACAGTATATATGTGTAAGTATTATGTATAAAATACAAATTTTCTTTTTCCTAACAGATTTAGTTGTTATGTCAAAGGATTTTAAAAATGCATATTTTTCCAGAATGATGACTGGATCAAATCTCTTACAGCTAGTGAAAAATCATGGAAGTTTTACCAAGTAACTGTAGCTAACTACTTCCTAAATTTACCTTTCCTGATCCTATTTGTCTTTGTTGTCCAGAAAAGTAATTTCAGCCTCTGGGGGGGTATCTGTGCATCCATACTTGATGCCAAGATTTGCTTTTCTACGTATGTGTTCTCCTAGAGTGTACACATGCTCTGTATACTTATCAGGTACTTTTTTTTTTGTGAGCAGCACATGCATGTTGCCCATGTATTCCCTTCCGTGGTTACATGTGTGGAACAAGGAGATGAAGTGTATGTCCTTCTAACCTGGTTTCTTCTCAGCTATGGAATCCTTAATGCTAAAAATTAGTCCATATTCTAGAAGAGATGTCTCATTATGGATAAAGAATCAAGATGCTCTGTGCCAGGGAAGATCTACTCTAGCTGGTTGAGGAGATGTATTGAGTATTTCTCCATAGGACTAGTATGTCTCCTGCTGGGGAGGAGTACTGCTCTGCCATGCTATGTAACAATAAACCATACACACTGCGACTAAAATTCATGCTTGCATGGATTCTCCTACCTTTGTCCCTGAGCAATAGGTTGACAACAACTGTATGACCTTGGTTGAAACAATAAATAAAACCTAGATCCAAAATGGCCTTGCTTGCAGTAGACCTGCGTGCTGAGGTTTTTGGTAGCAGGGAAGGGTGCTACAGCAGTGGCCCCTGTGAGAAGCTTCTTGAAGTTCTTCCAGCTCCAAGTCGGACCCACCTCTGACCAGGACCAAGCCAATCAGCAACGGTGGTTGTGCTTCTGTGTTAATGTATTTAAGGGGAACCTGAGAAGAGGAGGGGGAGTTGGGAGGAGGAACGATGAGAAGGATAAACACCGAGGTCAGTGGAAGAAAGGAGGAGGAATGGGGGGAGGTGTGCCAGAGCAGAGCTCCCCTACAGCCTGTTGTGAGATGGCAGGGCCACCCCTCCTGCCACCCATGGAGATCCACAGTGGAGCAGAGGCTGACCTGCAGCCTGTGGAGGAGCCCACGCTGGAGCAGGGAGCTGCACCCGAAGGCAGGCGGGACTCTGGGAAGAAGGCAGTGGGCCTCCACTGCTGTAGCTTGGCACTGGGAGGACTGCAACATGCAGGGGTGACCCACACCAGAGCAGCCTGAGAAATGCTGCATGCAGCCTGCGGGAGGGACTCATGTCGGACAAAGTCTGTGGAAGACTGTCTCCTGTGAGAGAGGCACCACGCTGGAGCAGGGGAAGAATGCAAGGAGTCCTATCTGTGAGGAGGAAGGAGTGGCAAGACTAACCGTAACCCCATTCCCTGCCCCCTGCGCTGCTGGATGGGAGAAAGTAGAGGAATCAGGAGCAAAGCTGAGGGGAAGAAGGGAGGGGTGGGGGAGGTGTTCTTAAGATGTGGTACTGCTTCTCACAGTCCCGCTCTGTCTGTTGAGTGTTGCTGTTCGTGTTTGAATTAAATTGATGTTCTTTTTCTTCCCCTAACGAGTCTGTCTTTTGCTGCCTGTAATGGGTAAGTCACACCTCCCTGTCCTTATCTCTATTCCTGAGCCTTTTGCTTTATTTTCTCCTTCTCATTCCTGAAGGAGCAGCTGTGTAGTTCTCAGCTGCCCTCTGGGCTCAAACCATGACAACCTACCACAACCATTTTGAGCCTTGCTTGCCCTTATGAAGGAATCCACAGACAAGAAGAGACTAGTGGCCATGCAGCAACGTCTCTGTGAAACAGGTGGCAGGCCATGGTCTGTATCTTTACAACAGAACAGTTGGCATTTTTCACTTTGATGAATGAACATAAACTTAGGTTTATGAACAACTCATTCCACAAATACAACCACAGAATGAGTCCCAGTCACCAGGCAACTCCACCAACAGGGTGTAGAGGCTCCTAACCTGCATTCAAACGTGTATTTCAGCCTCTCGGCATGAAGCTTCATCATTCTAACAAAGAATACTCAGTGCTGTTTCCCAAGACAGGAGCAGCCAGAATTATCTGAATCTGCTTAGAGCACATACCCACCTCTCCTGAGATAAAATGCACCTTCTCACAGGTGAAAGGTAGGAAGATACAATCACCATCAAAGGTTACCTGTGGTCTAATATGCCTCCCTGCACAGCAGGACATCAGACTGACCAGTCACCGTGTCACTCAGTGTGGGCAGAGAGGCAGAAAGGGTTGCAGGATTTCCCTCGCATTCCCCAGAGCTCTGCACCACACGAGATGGGTGCCTAACATTATAGGAAGTTGCAGCTCTTTAAGCGGGGAAAAGTAGTATTTCACAACCCTGCCAAAACTTTGACTCACACTGCCTCAATTCATTAAAGGCTGAAGTCACACCAGGCATGAGTCAGTGATTAATGTGAATCTACCACGATCGTCGGGACTGTACTGCTTTGTGAGAGATACCAAACAGTAGCTTCTCTGTTGCCTTCCAGAGACTAAACATAAACTAATCCATTGAGAAAACATAGCATCATCCTTAACCCATTTGTCCCACTATAGATCTGTAGTGTGTGACAGACTCATTGACTCCAATTCCCTGAATGAATCTGCTATCATAACTGCAGCATAAATTTGTCCTTTGCATTTAGTGACAGGGAAGATACCAAATTTTAAACCAGTGTTAGTCATCCTAAAGACAGCTGAGAGGAAGATTACTTATAATTGTCTGTCCTAGTCCCATCCTTCCACAGGATGGGTAAGAGCATAGGGGATGGTCGGACATTATTGCTAATGGAAAGCAAGTATGGAAAGGGCTTCACAAACAGTGTATTCCCTCTGAAAGGTTCAGGCTGACTTTCCTTGTTTGTCAGATGTCGTCAAAAGCGAGAGTGTAAAATACACCAAGGCAGTGGCCCTGTTTGCTGTGAGGAATGTGGGATATAGGTACCAATGTCAACATGCATTTGAAAGTCAACAGTGAGTGAGTCTACCTGTGAACAACGAAAAGGAAGCAGCTTTCATAGCAAAAGAGATGTCTGCAGAATTTGGACAGATGTGTTTTCATGTAGCCTAAGGTATGTTTCATGTAGCCTAAGTGCTGCAGGAAAAGCTTTGCAGACAGTATGACCAACTTGCATTGAAGAGCGAGCAACTGTGAAAGATCAGT